GTAGAGATGTTTTAAAATCTTATGAGCTTTGACCTTCATATGCGCAGAAACATAATTCCGACCGTCGCCTAAATTATTCTACGTCCTAAAAACATTACATCCATTATTCACAGTCTATCTCGAGCTCTCGTAGCATAAACAAGCCTTTGCTCTGATTAGAAATATCATAATAAAATGCCCTATTCTTTATTATTTTAATTTAAGCAATAAAAATATATATAACGAACGTTCGCCAGTTGACTTTATTGATGCCCGAGCGCCTTAGTTCATTTCTGGTTGTAATGAGGCACGTGGTCTAATTTTGAGTCAATGTTTTCACAACGTGCTTATTAGAAGAATCATGCGGATACGCCACGAATTTCGCGCATTTCGCGGCTCATGAGATATTAAAACACCTCTACCGCCTAGTCCACTACCGCTTGGACTATTTCTTGATACTGCCATTATTCACGAAGTTACAACCTTTCACTAAATCACTTAAAAACATTTGGATATTCTTTTGCTGAGTTTATAATTCAGTCAAGAATATTATTTTAAACAACTTTGATACAGATTTTCTAGAACTTAGGCTTATCCGTTGCTGCATATTATTATCAACGACGTTTTCTGTAAACACTGTCGGTCTGTCGGTAGATTTTCGTTTGCAAACGCAGGATGCAAATCTAATGGCAGTAGCACATTTCCGGTTTAATAAAGTGCATAGTCAACGTCGGCATGTGGAAATTCCGTCATAAATTGTTCGATGTAGAATTGCAAAGAGTATGTCCATGACCCGTTTTCAAAAAAGCCAACTTGTTCCGGAATAAAATGCAATGCGTTCTGAAATAAAACGATTAACCTCATTAAATTTTACCAGTAATTCGACGAAGTGCCAAAAAGTTTAGTTGTGAGAACAACTGATTTGTATGAAATATGTACGATTGAACATTGAAGAAAAGGAAACAATCAAACGATGGCAGCAAGTGAATTGAAACGATAACAGACACGCACAACGGACGCTACCGAGAAATGTACGAATGCCAATTTAGCGTCATCAGTCATAATGGTTTGTTTACAATTAACAGTAACAAACCGTTGCGTCTACGCTGGGGATAATCCATAGAATGGGAAAATATTTTTCATAAAAGAAGTAGACCTGTTTGGTATTTTAGGATGCTCTTTATTTAATCGTATATTTCCTTAACACAGCTGTAAGTCGAGTCGAAATTTAGACACCGGCGTTGGTTGAGATCCAGTTCCTGAAAGAACTGACCCTGGCGAAGACGGTTGGGTTTCTGGCTTGGCACTGTGTAGAACCGAAGGAGACGACACCCACCTGGACATTGCCAACCACCAACGGGCCACCAGAGTCGCCGTTGCAAGCACCGACAGTACCTGAGGACAGACAAGATTTACTTGCGCTTCCATACAAATTTAAGGATACAAAGAAATCCTTAATTTTTAAGCGAAAATTACGTAAAAATATTTTTTATCCTGCAATTTTTGTGAGACTAGTTCATGTCGCTAAATCACATGATTTTTTTTATAAAAACTTACCGGCTCCAGAGGTGCAAATGCTGGAAGCCAAGACGTTGTTGCCGTAAGATTGAGCACAGACTGCGTTGGTGATGATGTTGAGGTTCACACCTCGCAAGACTGCCGAGACAGCATTGGATGCGTCAGAAGTCCTTCCCCATCCCGACAAGAAGGCCCTAGATCCCGCGAATGTACCGGAGTTGGCGGGGGCTAGAGAAATAGTCCTGATGTTGTTGTTGAGGGTTACAGCGGAAGGCAGGAGGACGATGGCGACGTCGTTGGCGGCGAAACCGCCCTGATCGTAGTTGGCGTGGTTCCTGATGCTGGTGCTGGTGATGCGCACCTGGGTGGCCTCGTTGGTGTTGAAAGCGTGAGCTCCAAGTCTGACATTGACGTTAGAGGCCCTGGAAGGTGATAATAAAATAAAGTAAACTCTGGTGGATGTAGATTCTAGATCTAAGTTGCACACAGGGTGAACCTTAAAAGTGTGCAGTGTCATATTTTACCTGTGTATTTGGAAAATATATTAAGGTACACAAAAAACTATTGTTTGTTGCGTTTGTGAGGAATGAACCAAACTGGCCCCTTTTGAAATCCCGTTTTTTCTGATCAAAACAATATATAGGGTGTCCCACTGGGAATTGCGTCGATCGATATCTAGGAAAGTAATGCTCCGAAAAATTTGAAAATTTGACAACACGGCAAAGTCCCTAGGGCGAACACAACTAAAATATCTAGAACATTCCGACACTTCCGGTTGTACAGGAAGTCAACACCAACTTCGTTAATTTAAGTGGGACACCCTATACACCGTGTTCACCTAGTGCGCGTAAGTCCAATATCTAGGTTAATAAAAGATATAACTTATTTTTTTTTCTACAGAGTTGCCTACTTTCCCGAGCTGCACAAAATGAAAATATATTTGCATATACAGGGAGTTCAGTTTTTCCTGGACAGGTACCAACTTAATTTTTTTAAATGGAAACCTATATTTTTATGGCATTATCGAATTCTACGTGAAAAATTAACGGGACTTTGTGTTATGATCCCTATTAAAATATTGATAGTTTTCCAGATAATCGACTTTTCATTTTTTTTTTCTTATGTTTCGTCACTTCTAGTAGTTGACATAATTATGATTGTATGACAGGTAGAAATTATTATTTTTTTTTTTCAGGAACTAGAGTGAAGATGGCTCTTTCAAAAAACGTATCAAAAGTTGACCTGCGATATACAGGGTGTTTCTAAAATAGGGTTCCAAACTTCTGCTGCATTTATAACTCATTAAAATAAGCCAAAAAGTTCCTATTAACATGTGCCCTAAAACGCACCCTTAGGAAGTTATATGCCCTTAAAAGGGCTCAAACAGCTTTTTTCTGTTATTGACGAAACGGTCGCAAATAAATATAAAAAAATGTATGAGTCTTACATAACTTTTTACGTTAAATAACATGGGCTACTTCGTTTTTCGACATGCAAATCATATGCGTCCCATTTAGGTTGGTGAAGGGGGTTTTCGGCCCGTAATTTTTTTTATTTCAATTTTTTT